GAGTGTAGTAGTGAGTGGAGTGTGTGGTACTTGAGTGGCGAGATACTGTCAATTGTGATTGGTTGTTGGGAGTTCATCAGAGAGAGAGAACATTGTGTGTATTCTCCCTATCTGTGCATGGTTGTTCTTCCGTTGTTTATCTCTGGTCTGTGTGCAGGTGGACTCTGTCTCTTCCTCCCCTTTCTCTCATGCATGTATGGGCGTGTGTGAATGTTTCTGTGTGTGAGTGGCAACGAAATTGTCAAACAACCAAGTTCATAACAGTTGGTATCGGAGCGGAGATTGGACTTGGAGTCCAGAGGGTTGAGCGCAGCCGGGGCACCTTCTTCATCTGGCCCTAACTGGCGAGAAGGTCCATGGCGGTTCTTCATCTCCAGTGATTATCCAGCAGGGAAGAAGGAATGCAAGAGGTGATTGCAGGAGTATCAGTTTGCGATTGATCAGGCACCTGGGCCTGTCGGTGTGCCTGAGAGGAAGTGGCGAGAATAGGGTTATTTCGCCATCCACCCTCCTGACCTCAGTTGATGACTGGGTCTAAGGTGGCGAAATTTACCGTAATCCAGTGATTACTGGGTGGCGGCTTCAACCCCAGCATAGCGCTGAGGGAGGTTGATCGCATGATCACCTCCTGCTAAATTAACCCTACTCAGGGCTAAATTTAGCACCAGCGGCTCATACCTGCAGTGGCGAGATACCTTTAGGAGAGTATTCTCTCGCCACTGAGCCAGATTCAGTGAATCTGAGGGTGTGGGGCTGAATCGCCACATCATACTGGAGCGGATCAACAAGTTTCAGGAGATTCTGTACGTGGGAAGCTCTAGAAGACTGTCTGCTGGCAGCCATAGCCAAAGCTTCATCATCCACTGAGGGTTATACTTCAAGTGAGTTCGTTCCATATGAATCCCTGAGTAGCGATTAGATTGCATCAGTAGAAGTAGGATTAATGGTCTGTCTGTCAGTAGTGTAACAATCGTGAAATTGTCAGACTGCAAGACAACCATATCCATCTTCTTCCTCCCTACCCTGACTCATATCTCTTCATCTATTGACCGGTTCTGACTCAAAACTGTTCTGGGACTGCCTGACAGTATTGCGCTGCATCCTGTATGTTCATTCTGTGAATTCTCGCCTGGAAAAGTAGTGATACTGAGGATTTGAGTTTTGCGCCGAGTCTATTTATAGTCTAGGCTATCTAGGGTCAGTCATAACTCAAAATCTGACCGTCAGAATTAAAGTCTGTCAATCTGGGGTGAATCACAATTCTATTTTTAGCATCTGTGCTAAAGCGCTAGTCAAGAAACATCGTATTTGGGTCATTACAGTGCAATCTTGAAATTCGCCATATCTGGGGTTATTTTTGTTGATGTCAACAGTGGCGAAATTTGAGTTTGGGGCTGTCAGGGTGTAGTTTACTAAATCGCTACTATTTGTTATCCTGTTTCAGTTGACTCTTGCCTATTCCCATCAATACTACTGATCCTCTCTGCTTTCTGAGGGGCTCTGGAATATTAGTGACCCCTAGGATGTTGTGAAAGTGCATGTTGCAACTTCAGTGAAAGTTCAGTGTCAGGTATAGGAAATCGTTAGTGAATGATTTTACTGGACATCCAGTCAGCCTAACTATTGACCCCAGTGGCCCTATTCCAACCCTACCCGCTTGTGCCCACTAACCCACATTGCTTTTTGAATTGACAGTGCAGCGAAATTTGAGTGTTTGTGGGATCTGTAAATCGCTGCACCTCCTGCTGCTTTCCTTTTTGTTGTTTTGTTCTGAGAGGGAGAATGTCCGAAACCGCTGACATAGGTGCAGGGCAGGTGGAGGTAGTGGTTAAGGATGAGGCCCAAGCCTCACCCTCAACTCCACCTCCCCCTCCTCTGACCCCTGCGCAGCGGCGCAAGAAGGAGATCCAAGAGAAACTGCGAGAGCAACAGACGCTGCTCGCAGAGGCAGAGAGACAAGAGGCTCAAGAGCTGGAAGCTGCAACAGATGCTTCCAGAAAAGAGCATCTGCTGCAGCAGGCTCAGAAGACTTTTGGGGATGCTAGAGTGGCCCAGTGTACCAGAGACCTGGCTGAGCTGGTACTTTTGCAAGACAAGCTTACAACCAGCCATTTCACAAACTGGGACGAAAGGATCCAGAGGCTAGAGACTAGAGTGGCTGATCTGGAAATTCAGCAGTCTAAGATCCTGGATGCTATCCAGAATCTGATTGCCCAGTTAACAGCAGCCAACGTCATCAGTCCCCTGGTCCCTGTGGTCCCCTCTCTAAAGCCCAAGAAGCCTTCTCAGCCCCCTTCTCCACCTCCTTCTCCACCTCCTGGATCCCTTCTTCCTCTGTCTCCTCCCAGGCCAAAGCCACACCTCCTCCCACCTTTGCTGCTGTTGTTGCTGGGGACCACAGAGGTCCCAAGATCCCTGCCCCCAGCAAATTCAAGGGGGATGACCCCAAGATTGATGTGGGCGACTGGACAGCTGGAACCCGGGCCTATCTGAAGGGGTTCCAGTGCCCAGAGCAGCAAAAGGTGGCTACTGTTGTGGGTCTGCTGGAGGGGCCTGCCCGGAAATGGGCTACCTCTACAGCAAGTGCCCAGAGTCAGACTTTGGAGGACTGGGCATTGGCACTGGGGGTTGACAAACTTTTGCAGGCCTTGGAAGACCGGTTTGCAGACAAAGAGAGAGTCCGCAAAGCTGCTGATAAAATAGTACGCCTGGGCCAGCAGCGTTACAGCGGCAGTCTGCAGGCCTTATTTGCTGAGTTTGAGCAACTGACTTCCACCCCTGGATTGGTTATGTCTGCAGATGATTTGTTGATTAACTTTTGCAGGGCTGTGCCTGAAAAGTTTTGTGTTGCTTTGTACAACACTGGTCATAAAGACTGGAGATCTTTCGGACGCGCAGCACTGGACATGGAAGCCAAGCTTCATGTTCAGGCCCCCTCCAGTGACAGGAGGAGAGGCGCCTTCCCTCGCGGTGGTAGAAAGGGAAAGGCGGCCTTTGCATACGCGGGCTCTGGGTCAGCCTCTGAGACAGGATCCCAACCTGGTACACCGCCAACTGGGACTGTTTCAGCTGCTGTCCCAGATGTTGCAGCAATTGTTCAGCAGCTGCAGGCTGCGCTGGGGGCCTTCCAAAAGGTCGGGTCTGCCTCCAGCACAGCCTCCAGCAGCAAGGGGAAGAGCCAGGGACGTCGCTCTTCAACCCCTGCCTGACGCCCTAACCTGCCACGTGACGTCCACTTTCCAGCAGACCCTCTCAACCCCAACACTCTCCCATTGCATGATCTGAAGATCCAGGAGGGAGTGTGGAGGAAGAGGAAGGAAAGAGGTGTCTGCTTGAGGTGTGAAGGACAGCACTTTCTCAAGGACTATCCTTACATGCCAAGCCCAACTCAGTCAAAAAACAGCAGCTGAACCTGGAGACAGCAGTTCCCTCCAATGCTGCAACTGCATCTGCAGCTGCAGCAGCTTCAGTTGAGACTCATTCCTTCCCATACAGTGTGGGAACTACACGGGGAACATCCTTTACATATGAGGATCCTGACCCGGATCAGGAACCGGACCAGTCTGAGTCTCAGGCTCTTGCTGCTTTTTTCTTTCATATGAAAGAACAAAAGCAGAACAAGTCTGACCTCATACTTCTTCGGCCCCTGATCAACCATAGCAGGATCAAGGGGTTATTAGACTGTGGAGCCACCCGAAACTTCATGTCTCCTAGTGCAGTCAAAAAAACGCACCTGGGCATGAAAGTGGTGCAACTGCAGCAACCGCTGCAGGTCAGGATAGGGGACTCCACTGTTCTGACTATCAGGGAGAAGGTCAGGGGTATCCCTGTTACCTTCGACAGCGCTGGAGAAGTCAGACACAGTCTAAACTTCTACATCTTCCCTGACCTCCCTTTTGATCTTGTCTTCTCCATGCAGTGGCTGAGAGCAGTCAACCCAAGGATCGACTGGCAGATCCCCAAGGTTGAGCTGCCAAACGGCAAGGGGGTGTATCAGCCTTGTATGATTGCAGCTGATCACCACCCTAAGACATCCTGCTTCTGCTTGAGAGCGAGAGAGTCTTATGCTCTCTCACGCCAGTATGACCATGAGCGTCTGTTTATAGCTCTGGTCAAGCAGACAGACGATCCCATTACTCCCTGTCCTCCTGAGATACAGCAGGTTGTGGACCAGTACGCTGATCTGATGCAGGAGCCCTTTGGGTTACCCAACCGGCCAACCAAGCATCACATTGAGCTGCTGCCTGCAGCGGTCCCTCCCAAGGGCCGCATCTACAGGATGTCACCTGCTGAGCTTGAGGAACTCAGGCGACAGCTTGAGACCCTGACCAGCAAATGTTGGATCAGACCCAGCACTTCTGAATTCGGTGCTCCAGTCCTCTTTGTTCCAAAGGGGAGTGGTGAGTTCAGAATGTGCATAGACGATAGGGGTCTCAACAAGATCACTAGGAAGAGCACAGAGCCACTTCCTAGGATCGATGACCTTCTGGATATGGTCCAGGGCTGCACCATTTTCAGCAAAGTCGACCTCAAATCTGGCTATCACCAGATTGAGATGGCAGAGCAGGACGTCCATAAGACGGCCTTCAAAACCAGGTATGGTACTTATAAGTACCTGGTGATGCCATTTGGACTTTGCAATGCACCTGGCACATTCCAGACTGAGATGCACCGCACATTCAGGCCGTACCTGGACAAGTTTATGGTTGTCTACCTGGATGATATCCTGGTATTCAGCAAAACTACCAGGGAACATGCGGAGCACCTGGCTCTAGTTCTTCAGTCGTTACGTGACAGCCAGTACAAGATCAACAAAGAGAAGTCCTCTTTTGGAGTTCCCTCTGTGATCTATCTAGGTCATGTAATCTCTGGAGATGGACTGGCCCCTGAAGCAGCCAAAGTTGCTGCTATTCAGGATCAGCCCCAGACAGTGAGAGATGTCCGGTCTTTCTTGGGTCTGGCCTCCTACTACAGGAAGTTCGTCAAGAACTTTTCTGCAGTGGCTGCACCCCTGACTAACCTCACAAAGAAAGACACTCCCTTCCTTTGGTCCCTTCACTGTCAGATGGCCTTTGCACGACTCAAACAGGCCTTGACTCGTGCCCCTGTTCTGAAGTTGCCTGACCCCACTTTGCCTTTTGTGCTGACTACTGATGCTCGCCAGTATGGCATTGGGGCAGTCCTTCAGCAGGATGATGGAAATGGTCTGAGACCTGTAGAGTTCATGAGTAAGAAGATCAAGACTCAGAAGCTTCAGGACTCTACCTACGAGAAAGAGCTTTATGCTCTTGTCAGTGCCCTGAAACAGTGGAAACACTTTCTCCTGGGCAGGCACTTCAAGATCTTTTCTGATCATTCCACTTTGCAGTGGTTGAAGTCCCAGGGAGAGTTGAATGATAAGTTGGCACGTTATATTCAGTTCATCGATCTGTCTGACTTTGAACTGAAGCACAAGAAGGGCTGCTACAACAAAGTAGCTGACGCCCTCTCTTGAAGGCCTGACTCTTTTGCGCTGATCTCCTCTACTCATTCCTTTGGAGAGGAGGTCCGTCAGACCATTGCTCGTTCACTGCCTCAAGATCCGACTTATGGACCCATCGTCAGGAATCTGCAAGCAGATCCCAACTCTGAACCTGGCTATGTCCCGAGTTCAGATCTGCTGTATACTTACAGCAGAGGAGAGGAGCGCTTGTGCATCCTTGAGGATCAGCAGATGCGGACACTGCTGATGTCAAAGTGCCACGATGCGTGTGGATACTTTGGGTTCCTAAAGTCGTATACAGCCCTGTCGCAACGCTTCTTCTGGAAGGAGATGCGGAGTGATATGCTGCGCTATGTGGACACCTGTGAGCTCTGCCAAACGAACAAGGTTCAGCGTAAACCTCCTTTGGGATTGCTCAAACCTTTGCCCATACCTGATGGTCCTGCCCAGTCTGTATCCATTGACTTTACAGACTTAGGCAAGACTAGCCCTAGTGGCATGCGTCAGGTAATGGTCTGCGTGGACAGGTTTTCCAAATACGCAGAGTTCATCCCCTTGCCAGAGGTAGCCAGGGTACCGGTTGTGAGAGCAGCCTTTTCTGAGAGGTGGGTCACGCACCATGGACCGCCCACCTCCATTGTTAGTGATCGAGACCCCAGATTCTGCAGCGATGAGTGGCAGTCCTACTGCAAGGACTATCTGCACTCACGCCTGCACATGACTCCTGGTCGTCATCCTGAAGCCAATGGATCGGCTGAAGTGATGAACCAAGTCCTGTTCCAGTTGCTACGTCCTGTGATCTCTCCACATCAGCAGGACTGGGATCTCCACTTGGCGAGGGCACAGCTCATGTATAACATGTTTGTCCACTCTTCGACAGGGTTCAGTCCCTACCGGCTACATTGGGGACGTGAGCCACGACAGCCTCTCGATGACATCATCGACAAGGCTAAGCCTGACCTTACCCCAGGCACTGTTGAGTTCGCTAAACGCTATCGTTTGGATGTGGAAAGAGCCCGGGCGAACTTGTTCAAGGCCCAAAAGGCCATGATTGAACAAGCTAACCGCCACAGGCGGCCTTCCCTCATCCGTACTGGTGACTATGTCTGGGTGGCCAGTTCTGAGTTGTCGAGAGAGGAGGATATTTCTCCCAAGCTGTTGCCTCGCTACCTGGGTCCGTGGCAGGTTCTAGATACAGTGGGCGCTGATCCCTCCGGTCCGTCGTACGTTATCGACGTTCCGCTGCATCTACGAACCTATCCGGTCTTTCATGCATCTAAGCTGCTGCCTTTTACGCCAACTGATGCATTTCCTGACCGGCCCCCTCAATGGGGCCCACCAATCCCTGGCAAGGGATATGATGTGGTGGCCATTGAGGATGAGTGGGGCACTGGCCCCGACCGGCAGTATCTTGTCAGGTTTGCGTTCCAGCCCCCTTCTGAGAACCGATGGTTCTACAGGAGAGACCTGATCAAGACAGCAAAGTCTGTTGTACTGCGTTATGAGGCGGCCCAGAAGGGTGACCTTCGTCGTTCGCCTCGTCTGCACCCCTAGCTCGGAGGTCCTCGCTCCCGGGGAGGGTAAGCCTGCAATGACTTGCTGATTTCTGTTGCCGAGATTGACTTCGAGGCTGTATACTAGCCTGTAGGGTTAGTTCTGCAATTTTGTTTGGCTGAGGGCTAACTGAGAGATCCGCCTGTGTGGAAATTCGTGAGGGACAGATCTGTAATTTCTAAAAAAAATACAGACCTGGTACTAACCGAGTTCCTACAGCTACCCTAACTGCCTATAGCAGGCCCGGGCTAC